AAAAAAAAAAAAAGAAGATAAAAGACATACAAATTAGAAAGTAAAGCCATCTTTATTCAGGTATGACACATCTATATTGAAAATCCTTAAGAATCTACCCTAAAAACCACCTAGAATTTGAAAGTTAGAACATTGAGCTTATAAAGGTTAAACATACACAATCATCCATATAAATCAATTGCATTTCTGTATATTAACAAAAATTGGGAGTTGTCATTTAAATAGGGATAAATTTTCTAAAATATATATGTACAAGAGCTGCACACAGCAAAAATATTACCAAAATTAAGGCATAAATTCATATACATGCATACAACATATAAAAATGAAGAGATTGGAAGTTTCATTGCTCTCGAGATGTCAGTTCTCCCCACAGTGATCTATAAATTCAGCATAATCTGGTCAAAATTTCCGGAAATTCGGCGGAGGATTTAGCTCAGTAGTTCTGAGGCCTGCCTCACAAGGTTCTGAGTTGGATCCCTGGTTAAAAAAAAAATCTGAAATTGGTAAAATATCCTAAAATTCATAAAGGACATAGAAAATAAAACATTTCTGAAAAATAACAAAATCTAAAGTCTTTTACACCCTGATTTCAAGGATTACTACAACCCTAAAGCAATGAGCATTGTAGTACCAACACAGAAATTCCACAAAAAAGATCAATACATACATAGCCACCTGATTTTTTTTTTCAACTGATTTTTAATAATGTGTTGATAGTTCAATGGAGAAAGATAGTCTTTTCAATAGTTTGTTGGAACAATGGAATAGTCATAGGCAAAAAGTGAAATTATCATTTCTTCACATTGTATGTAAAAATTAACTCAAAATTGACCATTGTTCTACAAGTAAAATAGACTACCAAAATTCCTAAAGGAATACATATTAAAAATATTTTGTGACTTAGAACTAGATTAAAGCCTTTTTTTCAGCTATCAACAAAGATTGTATATTTGTGAATATATAGTTGTTTCTGTCATTGGCATCCATGATGGTCGCCATTTAATTTGTAATATCAGTAAATTTATGTCCTTTTTTCTTAGTTAAGCTAGAAAGGAGTTTGTCAATTTTACTGATATTTTTTGTTGGTTTTTTTTCTTTTTATTGAGTTTATTGGTACAATCTAGGTCTACAGTACAGTTACATTCATTATTGGGATCCTGTACCTTTACATAACAGGTCTTGATTCTCATTTTTTCCCCTTGTCCCTACCCTCCCTTCACACCCCCCTCCCCCCC